GAGAGGTAAGCCAGAGACTTTAACATGCAAGCCTTTGAAGGACATTTGATATTCAATAGCAGGTGTGTCGTGTGTAAGTTGTCTGTATCACATGTACAATGTGTCATGTGTGTGGGTCAGATGGGATATGGTGGACTGTATAATTGAAGTATGTGGAGTGCTGTGGTGTGTGAGTCATAGGCATGCTGTGTAGTATGAAGTGTGCTCTGCCATTATGTGTAGACCGTATATTTTGTGTGTGTCCTGTGTATACTGTGTGGTATGTGCTGAATGTAGTGTTTAGTGTGTCCTCTGCAGTGCATATTTGGTTATGTGTGGGGTGTAATGTGTTGTTATAGTGTTGTATGTGTGGTTGTGCATGGTGAGGAGGGTAAGCCAAACGATAGGAGCCACTGACTGGGGGCTGCTGACCTGGCCTGGGATGGCCCTGCTCCCGAGGAGTCTCCTGGTACCAGCCCTAGACCAAGCTGCCATCCACATACCTGGGTGGAAGGGCGCAGCATCAGAGGCTGCTGGTCTTTGTGGTGCACAGATGGGCTCACAGGTGGCAGTCAGTACAACACTTTGTAAAACAAGCTGCAAAGAGGCCATCAAGCTGAGACCTGGGCAGCAGAACACCCTGGAGATGGGAACAGGGACAGCACCAGCCTGGGTCACAGCCTCACAGGGACAGCTGCAGCCCAGGTCCCAGCCCCACCAGGACAATGTCAGCCCAGGTTCCAGCCTCACAGGGACAGCGCCAGCCTGGGTCGTAACCTTACCTCCCCAGTCAGGATATGCCAAACGCAGACACCCATCTCATTCCCAGGGTCCTTCAGAACCAGATACCTCTATGTCTGTCCAACCTTGTGCCTTCCTGCCCCAACCTACATTCTGAACTCCTGCCCTTCTTCCCAGCACGCTTCCTGTTCTGTCTGGAAACCATGTCTTATCTGCCCTCTTGCCATAGTCCATAGCTGCCCACTTTTCCTTCCCAGGCCAACCACCCGGTCAGCTTCCTACAAGATACCCCCAATCCCAGAAGAAAGCCCCTGCAGTTGCAGGATGACTTGTGATGCCGGCTCAGGCTTCTTCCTTCTCCTTCCAGAACCTACCATTGTGCCCTCCTGTGTTCATGCCTCAGCTCTCTATGGCTAGATCACCAGCATTGGGGGCAAGCAGTTGGGTCTTGAGATGTATTTTTGAGCCTAGAGCCCCCGTTAGCCCAATTCTGAGCCACGGTCTCCACAGGACTGTTCTAATTTGCTTTCTTGATGCTGTGATAAAACACTTTAACCCAAAGCAACTTAGGGGAAGAGGTTTATTTGGCTTACATGTGCAGATCCCAGTCCATCACCGAGGGAAGTCAGGACAGGAGTCATGGAAGACCTGGAAGCAGAGACCATGGAGGCATGCTGCGTGCTGGCTCACTGCGTCTCACAGGCTCATGCCTAGCTAGTTTCTTATACACCCCAGGACCATCTGCCTAGGGATGGTGCTGCCCACAGTGGGCTGGGCCCTCCTGCACCAGTTAATAATCAAGTCAGTCGCCCACAGACATGCCCACAGGCCAATCTGATCTGGGAAATTCCTCAACTGAGGCTTTCCTCTCAGATGACTCTAGGCTGGGTCAGTTGACTGTGATGACCCATAAGAGGCACTGAGTGGGCAGCCCCACCACAGCCTGGCTCTGCCTGAGCCCTTCCTTTCCACAGGCAGCAGCCCCTGTGGGCCTTTCTGCATCCATTGCTCTCACGGTCTAGCTCCTCCTCGCTCACCATGGATGAATCTGACAAACTCTCATGTCTCAATGCATCGCAGTTATGCCACTTTTGGAGCCACCCAGAGGCCCCCTGCTCAGCAGGCCCCACGGACAAACCTGGAGTGGGAAGAAGAGGCACCAGTTGACTGTGATGACCCATAAGAGGCACTGAGTGGGCAGCCCCACCACAGCCTGGCTCTGCCTGAGCCCTTCCTTTCCACAGGCAGCAGCCCCTGTGGGCCTTTCTGCATCCATTGCTCTGACGGTCTAGTTCCTCCTTGCTCACCATGGATGAATCCGACAAACTCTCATGTCTCAATGCATCACAGTTATGCCACTTTTGGAGTACCCAGAGGCCCCCTGCTCAGCAGGCCCCACGGACAAACCTGGAGCGGGAAGAAGAGGCATTGGGTGTGTGAAGAAACCAGGAAGGACATTCCATCTCGGCCCCGGCCGTGGGTCTGGGTCAGGCTCCACAGCCATTGCAGGCTTTGTGTCCTGACACCCTCAAATGATATCCCTACCCACTCGATACAGAAACAACAGAAGAGTCCTTCTGTCCAGGTCTCTTACCATCACCCCAGCTCCCTCCTGGCTCTTTGGTCCTGATTCTCTAAGGAGCCTCCAGTCTGGTCAGACTCTGTAAAGGTCTGCTTCTTTACCCTCTCCACCAAGTCCACATCTATAGTTTGCCCACCTGCCTTACCCTCCACGTGTCGTCCCACCGGGTGCTCTTCCCCTGTATAGGCCTTTCCATGAAGAACGAGGGGCAATCCCCAGCCTTCCCTGCACCACCAGGTCTCCGCCCTCTGGAAGCCTCTCACTACTTCTTAGGCTCTCACTGTCAAAATGATTCCATTCCTGAGAACTGACTTAAAGTGTGATTAAGTCCCACAGCTAAAGGCAGGCTGTGTAGGCATCTTCGAGATGACAGAAAAATACCAGAATTCAATGGAAAACACTTAGATTAGTAACTGACGTATAGTGAGCAAAATGAAAGTGTTTGTTATGTGGTGAGTGCGACAGATAAGAAGGTGGTGACTCCAAGATGGTAGGCCCACAGCTTCTGTCAACGGCACTCGCAAACTGTGGAACTGGGATTTGAACTCAGTTCAAGCCCCAAGTCCACGTCAAACCACTGTGTTCTGCTCCTCTCTTGATTTTTCAGCATGTCTGAGGTATATGTGTGTTTCTGCGGAACTTTAAGCACCATTTACAAACGTCCAGACGTACTTTTTGGAAGGCCTCCATGGAATGTACCATTCTGCCATTGATTAATTTTCATTATTCCATGTTAGCATTATTCTGGAAGGAGGCAGAATGTGCATGGATCTCTCCAGTGTTTTTAAATATTTTACTTATGATTTTTTTGGCCTATATTGCCTGCATGTGTGTAAGTGCACCCGTGTCATGCAATGCCTATGGAGGTCAGAAGGGGATGTTGGATCCCCTAGAACTGGAATTACGAACAGTTGTTAGCCAGCATGTGGGAGTTGAGACTTGAACCCATGTCCTCTGCAAGAGCAGCCAGCGCTCTAACCGCTGAGTCATGTCTGCAGTCCTGATCCGTGCAATTTTATCTCCACCAATTGTTTGTTCAGCAGCTAAACCAGTTTCTAAACATCTACCATGTTTCCTCTGCTGGACTCAAAGAACATGAACAAAGGCCCCATTCTTGCCATTGAGGATGGCTCACCTTCACTGCTCTTAACTGAACAGTTAATGAACATTGAATATCTTGCATGTATCACCTCAACCATCACACCTGAAGGACAGTTACTATTATTGGATTGATTAACAAACATGGAAATAAGAAATTAGAACTGAAGACCCCACTCAGTGTTGCAGGGATTGTAATCCTAAATCTGGAATTGTACCTCACATGGGCTGGCACCTGCAATATTACCTCTGCCCATACTCTCCCTGCTGAGAGACGGCACCAGCAGAGGACAGGTTTGTACCTGTCTATACCATGCCAAGGGCAGCCCGTTGCTGCAGGACATGCAGGATGGGGTGCCCAGTTCCTCCAGGTGGCAGACAGGCTTTTTTCAACTTAACATCAGTCCCTCTCCAAGGCCTGGAAATCTCCTTGCTGAAACAGCTGTAATGACTTGGGCAAACTACCCTCAGGTGCACGGTCTGTACATAGGATGTGTCTGCCACTTCCAATTCCATCCTCCTGCCAGGAGGCACACAGCGGACAGGCATGACTGACAGAAAAGATGATTTTGCAAATTGCAATCAAAATAGGATGCTCTGCCCGAGCTCCATGCAGCTTCCCTCCTACAGGGAAATAGCTAGTTCTCAAAACAATGCATTATTACTTCAGTTCTCTGTCATTCCGTTAAGCAGAAGTCATGTTCTCCTCAAAGGCACCTTATGAACAAACAGGACCTTGTGCACTAGGAGCACAAACACACAATAAGCAGCCCATGCTCAGTCGGGATTTGCCTCCATGACCAGGGAAGCTGATCCATCTCTGGAATTGCATTCCCAGCATGCAGCAGGACAGGAATGCACTCGCTGCCCTGGAGCTCAGGCTGGGACCAAACACTAAAAGGCAAAGTCTAAAGCTTTCCTGAATGATGGCTTTTGAGCCAGGCTCAGACACATTACAGGGTTATGTCCGCAATGGCAACCACTTTTGCAATTCATCATCATGAAATCCAAGCCAGGTCTCCATCAGCTGAGCTGCCCGTGGCATCACAAAGCGCTTGGCAGGAGCTGCTTAGAGGATGGCTCACCAGAAGCTTGTCCCTGGGCAGAGCCTCTCTGCTCTGCAGAACAACACACCCTTTCAGGATCCAGGGAACCAACTTCCCAGGGGGACGTTGTAACTGCTGTTCGCCTTTCTGCTTCCTGCCTATGAGTCTGCCTGCTTTCTCCTGGGGCGTTTCAGCTGGTTTTGCCAGCCCTGGGACCAGCATGGTGGCTGTGTATTCCTTTCTATCTTGGCAGCATGACAGTCCAGAAACACAGCTGCTGAACCAACACAACTTCTTTCCCCTTCTACCTCCCCTTTGGAGGGACTCCAAAGCCCGAGCTCGCTGCCTGTGGGCAGCCTCTGTGCAGGACGTTTATCTTTATCTGCTGTGTATATAGTTTCTCTCTCTCTCTCTCTCTCTCTCTCTCTCACACACACACACACACACACACACACACACACACACACACACACACACAGAATCCTCATTAGCAGAGACCTGCTGACAGCCACAGAGCAGGAACATAAACACAGCCATGAACCAAGGCCACTGACCTGCTCAGTCTGGGGTCTCCATGCAGGATGGAAGGACGCAAGGAACAGGATTGAAAGAACAGATCTCCATCTCAAGATGCAGAGCCTACTGGCAGTGTGTGCTCAGCTGTCCTCAGACACTTGGCAACCCTCAAGTCCCACAGAGAACAGGGGCCAAGTTGGAGAGGGAGCGAGGAGGAGGAAATGGGTCGTTAACTCTGACTGAGAAATACCTGTCTTCAATCACAGGTGTGTGGGATAAGCTGCATTGGGGGCCACTGTGTTCCTAAAAATCTGTACATTGACCCTTAAGTAGCTCAGAAGGTGGTTGTCTTTGGAGATAAGGTCATTCAATCAGTAACCAAGTTAAACTGAATTTGTCTGTGCTCCTTAGAGAAAGAGGTTAGGACCCAGACCCCAACAGATGAGCAACCATGGGAGGACACAGGGGCCAAAAAGAAATGAACTCCAGCCTCCAGAAGTAAGGAAAAGGAGGGTTCCATCTTTAGTGCACCCCTCTGGGGTCTTTGTGGCTCATGCGTGGGAGCACCCTGCTTGGCTTAGGAGTTTCTCTCATGCACATCTGCCAATTTTCTCACACCAGCCCCTTGCTATTGATCCCCTCCATCACATGCCATCTCCTAAGGCCAGAGAAGCCAGTGAACGCGCCTAGAATCAATCCTCTCTGATCCGGGGTGTCTGAACGGAGCCCAGGGGAGCCGGAGCCCATCCCAGCCTTGCTGTTAGCTTAGGTGTGCCGCACACCTTCTGTCTCGCAGTGATTAATAACCTTGCCTCTCACTCTCACCTGGTTTGGATGATAAATGATGTGGTTGTGTTTTCTCATGCTGTCTCCCAGGCAGGCTCCTGAGTGTCAGAATACTAAGTTAATACAAAAATGAATAAATCATCCTGCTTATTTATGAACGCCAATGTTCACCTTCCTTTCAGCAGCCTAGAGAATGTGGAATATGACATTAATCACAGTAATTATAAATTATGGGTAACATTCTATTGGATTTATTATTGTCATTGTATTTCATGCAGACCCTGTAAGATCAAAAAGGCGAATCCTCCCCTGAAAGATTCCTAGACTTTAGCAAAAGCCCCCAAATTCTCTGGGGACTTGGGTCTCACTGTAACAGGTTCAGAATGGAAAAATCATGTGTTTACGACACTTCTGGGTCAGAATTCCATGCTACTATTTGAGGAAGAGTGCAGATAGGATCAGCACTTTCCCCCTCGGTCTGTTGGATATTTGAAAATGGATCATGGAAACCAGACAAAGAATGTCCTTAGTTACCTTTAACTGTCAACTTGAGGGCTGGAGAGAGGGCTCTGCGGTTAAGAGCACTGGCTGCTCTTGCAGAGGACCCGGGTTCGATTCCCAGCACCCAGCGGCAGCTAACAACTGTCCATAACTCCAGTTTCAGGGGATCTGGCACCTTCTTCTGACCTCCGAGGGCACTGCATGACACAGGTGCACTTACACACGTAGGTAATACACTCAGACGCATAAAAAAATTTAAAAATAAGTTATAAACAAATTGTCAGTTTGACAGCCTAGAGTCATCTGAGAAGACAGCTTCAACTGAGGAATTGCCTCGAGCAGATTGGTCTGTGGGGGGATTTTTTTGAGGACTAATTGATATAGGAGGGCCCAGCCCAATGCCATCGCTAGGAAGTGGTGCTGGACTGTACAAGAAACAGCCAGGGAGCAAGCTGGCAAGCAGCATTCCTCCATGGCTTCTGAGTCAGTTCCCCTACGCTTCCACCCTGACTTCCCTGTGATGGGCTGTGACCTGGACTAAAGCTGAACTAAACCCTTGACTGCTGAGTTGCTTTTGGTCGGAGTATCTTACCACAGCAACAGAAATGAAACGAGAACGAAATGAATGAAACGTGTGGGGGGGAGGGTGTCTCCTCCCACCGCAGAAGGAATTCTTCTCCACAGATCAGAGAGGAAAGGAAAACGTGATGTTCTGCCAGTCTGCAGGTTTTCCTCCTCTCTGCGCCTCTGGCTGACATGGCATCTTTGCCTGTGTGCAGAACCCTGTTGGAGAGCTCAGAGTCAGGCGCAGGCTCCTCGCTAACGACAGGCCGAAGGGAAGCAAGGTTCACAGCGCCAGAACATGTCGAAGGGGGTCTTTGGTGCCTATAAACGGCGAGAAATCGAACACCGGCTGTGCAGAAAGAGGAAGTCAGAAGCTGAGGCAGCACCGTGCTGGAAAGGGAGCCGCGTCCACCTTGGAGCAGCTGCAAAGAGGCCCACGTTGCTCATCTAAAGCCTCGTTTCCCCACCTAGGGTGCAAACCAATGACACGGCCGAGCCAGCCTGCTACCATGCAACCCGTCAGCGTTTCCTCTGCCCCAGACGCTCCCCATCCTGGGTCTACAAGGCCTCCCCACCTGCCCTAAACAGCTGCTTCCCAGCCCTTTACGTTTGCATCTAATGAGGACTCTCTGCGCTTTCACTTGCCTCTACTGGAAATCTGTCCGTGTCAGACCGTGCATCAGTAGTCATGGTGGCTTAAATGAGGTGTCCCCATGCACACTCGTGTTTGAGCACGTGGTCCACAGTTGGTGGCACTGTTTGAGGAGGTTATCAAGTCTGTAGGAGATGTGGCCTTGCTGGAAGACGCGCTCCGCTGGGGCCGGACTTTGAGGGTTTACAGCCTTGCCTAAAAATACAATTTTAAGATCTTATAGAAATTTACTGTACTATCTTAGGAAACTGCCAAACCATTCTTCAAAATGGCTATGCCCTCTTACATTGCAGTGTATGATGTCCCGCTGTCACACTGCAGTGTATGACGTCCAGCTGTCACACTGCAGTGTATGACGTCCCGCTGTCACATTGCAGTGTATGACGTCCCGCTGTCACATTGCAGTGTATGACGTCCCGCTGTCACATTGCAGTGTATGACGTCCAGCTGTCTCTGGATGAGCCAACTCATTGCACTTTTTATTACCGGCCTCTTCAGTAGGCTGACTTCAGTTTTGTCTCCCTAGTGATTACTGATGCTCTGCATCTCTCCATTAACCATCCATATTCTTTCTTTGGTAAACTATTGCTCAAAATGTTTTCCCACTTTTAAATTGAGTTGTTATTGTGAATGACTTACAAGTGCTCTAGATAGTCTTCATAAAAATCTTTTATCATAAGTATAATTCACACATATTTTCTTATAGTCTATGATAAGTCTTTCATTTTTCTTTTAAAATATTTTTATTACATCATATATATGCATACACACATATATACATATATGTGTGTGTGTGTGTGTGTGTGTGTGTGTGTGCCTAGGGCACATGGCTGCCGCAGACCACATGTGGCAATTTAAAATATTTTTATTACATCATATATATGCATACACACATATATACATATGCGTGTGTGTGTGTGTATGTGTGTGTGTGTGTGTGTGCGCCTAGGGCACATGGCTGCCACAGACCACATGTGGCAGTCAGAGGACAACCCTCGGGAGTTTGCTCCCTCTTGCCAACGTGTGGGTCCCAGGATTGAACTTAGGTCTTCAGACTTGGCATTAGAAGCCTTTACACACTGAGCCATCTTGCCAGCCCATCATTTTTTATTTTTTAATTTTGCATCTTGAAGTACAAAAGTTCTTAGCTTTAATCATTTAAATTTAGGATTTCCTCCCTGCTGTGCTGATCTGCGTGGCACAGTGACCTTCTGCTCTGTGTTGTCACAACCTTCTTCTGTGGCTTCCTAGCTTGCCCTCCCAGAATGTAAACAATGCCACATACTAAATTTCTGATTTTAGAACTCCAGTATTTATTGTGTTGAGATATATTCCATCTATACCTAATTTGATGAGTGTTTACATGAAGGCTGCATTTTAGCTGATACTTTTTCTGCATCTTTTGAGATGATCACACAGTGTTTATCCTTGGTTCTATCAATGTGTTGTATCGCATTGATCTACGTGTGTGTGGAACCGTGCTTTCATTACCAGACTGCATCCAGCTTGATCATGGTGAGTGGTCTTTGCAATATGCTGCTGAGTTTGGTTTTCTATGACTTTCCTGAGGAGTAAATCTATGTTCATTAGGGATATTGGCCTATAGATTTTTCCCATCTTCTATCCTTCCTTCCTCCCTTCTCCCCTTCCTCCCTTCTCCCCTCCCCCCTTTCTATTCTATCCTTGTCTCACTTTGAATCAGTGTATCGATGGCCTATTAGAACAACTTTATAAGGACTCATTCTTTTTCAATTTCTGAATATTTTAAGAAGAATTAGTATTAGCATTAGTACTAACACAGGTTTGGCGGAATTCAACCAGTGAAGTCATTTGGGTCCTGGGCTTTTATTTGGTGGGAGACACTATATTACTGATTCGATGTTCATTATTGGTCTTTTGGGGTTTTCTATTTCTGTATGATACAATTTTGATAGATTATCTGAGTCCCAGAGTTTATACTTCTTTTAGATCGCCTAGTCTGTTGGCATACAGTTAGTTGTTTAAACACTGCCATATGACCCTCTGTATTTCTGTGGTGTCAGTAACGTCTCCCTCTTAATCTCTGATTTTATTTGAGTCTTCCTTTTTTCTCTCTGGTCTAGCTAAAGCTTTGTCTATTGTGATTACTTTCTCAAACTCCTAACTCTCCATTACATTGACAGTTTAGATTTTTTTCAGTCTCTGTTTCTTTGCTCCTTCTAGAAGTTTGAGGTTTGCCTTAGTTTTGTAGTTCCCTGAAATTCACTGCTACACTGCTCACACCAAAGCTTCCTGCTTTTTGATGTTCAAGTCTATAAATTTCCCTCCCAGAACTCACAGCTAACATCACACTGAGGGAAAAATGGGGAGCTTTCCCCTGAGGACCTAGAACAAGACAGGGATTGCCACTTCCTCCGCTGATGCTCAGCAGACGACTTGAAGCCATAACCAAAGTAATTAGCCAAGAAAAAAATAAGAGGCCTCCGAACTGGAAGCATGGAAACCAAGTTGTTCTTATTTGTAGGTGGCACATAGGCATGGTCTATGTATGGGAAATGCTAACTAGTCCATCGTAAAACCTGTTAGAATGAATAAACTCAGTACGACTGGAAACATTTCCCGGTGGTTT